AGAATGTATTAACTATGTTAGAGTACTACGCCTATATTTGTAGCCTGAAAGACAAAATCCAGGGTTAGCACTCGTTCTGCTCGTTTATGCTTATGGTTGTTAGAACTGTACTTAATGCTGTGAACACAAGGTAGTAACTGATTATCAGCTCCTCTATCTTCTGTTGCTCAAAAACAGCACACTTAGTTATTAACATGATTAATGTTGATTAACATGTGTGTGTGTGTGTGTGTGTGTGTGTGTGTGTGTGTGTGTGTGTGTGTGTGTGTGTGTGTGTGTGTGTGTGCAGGGTCATATGGAGGGCGAGGTTTGGGGTCTGGCCACTCACCCCCTCCTCCCCGTCTGCGCCACCGTCAGTGATGATAAAACCCTGCGACTGTGGGAGACGTCAGCCAATCACCGCATGGTGGCCGTCCGCAAGCTGAAGAGAGGTTAGATAAATGACCAGACTGCCAATTTTACATGTTTTTGTATCCTGTACAAATCCTGTATATTTGACATCCATCAGTTTTTAGATTTCCTTCCTTCTCGACAGCTGTTGGTTTCAGTTCATTTCTATGAAAATCTGTAGCCTGTGTAGATGGAAACCAGTTCAGGGTTTTGAACACTGAATTCTTCAAGCGATTCAGAGCAAAAACCTCCATGGTGTCTGAGGTCAGCATTTAGTCCGTCTAACTGTCCCATTCCAGGTACCTATGATGGCAACCTATGAGTTTCATTTTGTGTTACTCTACCCAGATGTCTACACCATTAGACCCATAGATCTGTTGATGAGTACAGGGTAGTTGGGGCTTCCACATCTGGGACAGAGTCATATCATCCACGTATTTGCAGTGGTCTGTTCCGTCCTGGAGAGCCTTGAAACTCAGAGTACATTTACTCAAGTACAGTACTTAAGTGCAAATATGACGAAGGCCTACTAACTTCTTCTCCACTGCAGACCCAAACATGTTTCCATAGGGGTGGCCAGGCTGAGGCCAGTACTCACTTTAAAGTCTTTCTCAGTTTTTTCTGCGTGGCATGGCGCTGTACAGAGGTTAGATTATAATGTTTGCTTTGACCAAAATGTGTGTATCTAAATTAAGTCCCTGACAGCTCCATCATCATCATCAGCTTTCACTACTTTTATACCTTGTACCTGAATTTCTTCTGCTTGGAGTTTGGTTCCTCAACAACAGATTTTCTTAATAAGACGCAGTCAGACCAGAATTTGCTTCCCATTAATTTTTATGCGGAACAAATTACAGATTTCAGATTACAGCAGCGAGTGGGTTGAATGCAGAGTGGGTTGTGGAGGGGCAGGACGAGATGGGTGCGCTGCTAAAAGACGTCCCCAGTGGAGTTGGCAGCAGTAGAGAAATGGTTAAGCACAAGAAAAAAATTTAGCCTATGGTGGCCATGGCCACCCCCTGGCTCCGCCTTTGCAGAGGGAAAGATTGTATTTTACTATAATTATGTGACAGCTTTAGTTACTAGTGACTAACTGTGAAGACTCACATGGACTAAAATGTTGTTTATTTATTTGCAGTATTCATATTTTTTTCAATTCAATTGTATTTGTGTAGCACCAAATCAAAACAGAAGTTATCTCTAATAGCGCAGATCCAGACCATACTCCATACTTAAAATTAAAGTATAAGGAGTTGGATAGCTGAGTCTCTTTTACAGCAAAGCCCAGTTAATATTTCAATACAATGATGGACACAGAATAAGAAAACCAGACAGAGTCAGTAAATAAAACAGAGAAGTTGGGTGATAGAAATGCCAGGCAGGGGGAGAATTTTGGAGGGAGGTATATGTGTTTTGAATTTTTAGCAATATTGCAGAATTTAATTATAAGAATTAACTTTATAAGACATAAGACAATAGTGAGCTGACAGAAAATGAGGGGACAGAGACAAGGGAAGATATGCAGTGAAGGTCACTGGCAGGACTGGAGACATTACAGCCCACACATGGACATCAGAATACTGAGTCAGGGAGTAATCAAATTACCTTTGACCATGTAAAAACGTGACTAAACTGACTGATTAACTAAGTTATTTACTGTCAAGTTAACTGATTGTGTGTGTGTGTGTGTGTGTGTGTGTGTGTGTGTGTGTGTGTGTGTGTGTGTGTGTGTTTTCCAGGCGGTCGCTGCTGTGCCTTCTCTCCGGATGGGAAGGCGTTGGCAGTGGGTCTAAGCGATGGCGGCGTGCTGGTGGTAAACGCTGACACATTGGAGGATCTGCTGAGCTTCCACCATCGCCGCGACGCCATCTCTGACGTCCGCTTCACACCAGGTACATACACACACACACATTACCACACATGAACACAAATATGGCTGTGTCTCTGCAGAGGACGTACTGTATCTACTCACGCTCTCTTTACCTGACATTCTCTGGCACGCAGACTCAGGTAAATTCCTGGCTGTGGCGTCCCATGACAGCTTCGTGGACATCTACAACGTGCTGAGCAGTAAGAGAGTGGGGATCTGTAAAGGAGCGTCCAGTTACATCACACACATCGACTGGGATGCCCGAGGTAACACACAGTGCTCTCTCTCCCTTTCTCTGCTGCTCATTTTTAAAGTCTGCCTCAACATATTTGACTTTGTTTTTACATTCATCTGACGACTGTACTGCTGCAACAGCATCTCTATCCCTGCCCCCTCCCTGTGGAACTTGCCTTTGCTGTTTCTGATATTGTCTTTTGTTAACATATTATAACATATAATATTGCATATTAATAGATTCTGGATTTTTATACAAGGTCGAACGAGGAGATGTCACACATGTACCTGAATGTTAAAAATTATATCAGACACAAAGGGTTAAAGGGAGACTGAGTACCTTTTGTTGAACAGTGACCTCTGTGGCCACAAGTGACAATTACAGGATAATAGTAAATGCTAAAAGAGAACAAGAGGAGGCCATAAGGTCATTGGACTGACTCATTAAGAACACTATGACATTACCACTCTCTGCTGCCCTCAGGTCCTCAGACGACGAGACGAGGACCTCAAAGGATGCTACACTATGGGTCTTTGTTCTGACTTTAGAGATAATTAAAAGACCACTACCAGAAGACCTGAGGGCTGTAGAGGGTTCATAGTGTAAAAGCAAATCTGACAAATAAGTAGGACCAAGACCATTAAGAGCTTTATAAACCAATAAACAGAAGCTTCAGTGCAACAGTGTTGGCTTGAGAGAGAAACTGTCGCACTCTGGCAATGTTAAAATGTGTGTGTGTGTGTGTGTGTGTGTGTGTGTGTGTGTGTGTGTGTGTGTGTGTGTTGCAGGTAAACTGCTGCAAGTGAACACAGGAGCCAAAGAGCAACTTTTCTTCGAAGCCCCAAGAGGAAAAAGACAGACCATCAGAAACTCTGAGGTTAGTGCTGAAGCCCCCCCTGCTGGCCAGAGTGAAACACAGGAAATATAATTACAGTTTATGTTGAGGTGCTTGTGGATGCATTATTCTGTTGTTGTTCAGGCGTGAGAAACGAGGACCTGCTCAACATAACTAGCACATTAATGGCGATGTAAATAACAAAAAGTAGCATATTTCTTTACTTGAAATAGTCCAAAACCAACAAAATAATAAGGGATACAGCATCTATTAGTGAGAGTGATGCTGCCGAGTATCTAAACATCACAGCTGCATTTATACAGAATTTACTCTGGACGAACAGGAGAGGAGTATAAAGAAAAAGAGTTTTCTGGTTTAGTTGAAATAGAATTTAACAGAGCAGAAACTGAGCTACCGTCAGCCTGTGGGGGTGATGAGATTAAAAACAACTGTGCAGACAGAAAGTACTGACAGGATGGACATCTACATCCCCTGCTGAAAATATGTTTCCATGTCCATTATATAATGTACACACTTGAATAAAAAGTATTCACTGTCTAGTAGCTCTAGTATTGACTAGTAGAGACTAGGATCCCATTGTTAAGAAATAATGTGTGTGGTACAGTAAGTACCTGTATTCTGTCTTCATCTATGACAATCACTTGAACCCTACACACAAACACACACACACACACACACACACACACACACACACACACACACACACACACACACACACACACACACAAACACACACACACTTTTTTAACAGGGGCGGCATCGGGTGGCCACCCCTAAAAACTGCATGGCTGCCAAAAACATTTGTTTAATTTAATTCATTTAATGAATTAGGTTAGATTAATTTAAAAAATAAGGTGTTAAAAACATAAATGAAAGTAATAAGCTAAGCTTAAAAAAAATGTCTGAAGATTTGGAAATAAAACAATTCATTGATTTCTAATGCCACCTTTAGATATTTCTATTCAGTGCTTTACTAATGTGCCACAATAACGTAATGTTTATGAGTTCAAACATCGTCATTTGGGGGTTTTTCCAAGAAAATATTGATTTATGTACAATCATTGTGTTTTTATCTTAGAATGAGCCGTTTATATCTACAGACTGTGCAGGAGGGTAGGAACTACACCACTAGATCCCACTAAATCCTACACACTGGACCTTTAAGTAACTTATATTAGTTCAGATCCAACACTGGTTGTGGGTACTTATGTTGTATAATTATTTATCATTTACTTTTCTCTATTTGTCTGAACTTATTTCTGTGTGTGTTTAGCTGGAGCGGATCGACTGGTCCAGTTGGACGTGTGTTCTGGGTTCGAGCTGTGATGGGATCTGGCCGACGCACAGTGACATCACCGACATCAATGCTGCGTCGCTCACCAGAGACCGAACGCTGCTCGCCACCGGAGACGACTTCGGCTTCCTCAAACTGTTCAGCTACCCCGTTCGAGTATGACAGACAGACTCACTGGTCTCTACACATGAGTTATTAAATAGGAAATATGAGATAAACATCTACTGTATATAGGAAGTGAAAGACCGACTTCTTGTCTTCTTTCTTTTTCCTCCTTTCTTTCCTTAAACTTTCTTCCTTCCTTTTTTCTCCCTTCTTCATCTATGATCCAGTATAAGCACATTCATAAGACATTAAACTTCATTTATAAGGCTATATATTATAATTATTATAATAACATTATTATTATTGTATATAGGCTATATAAACTACAAATGTTTAGAATCATGCATGACAACTTATAACAAGGTTTATTAAGTACTGTTAGGGACAACAGCGTTTGAAAGAAGAATCTGAGTCCTGGGTTACACACACACATTAGATCTACCAGAACTTTAGCCAGTTATAAAGACACATAGAGAACTGCTCCAAAGTACCATAATAGATCTTAAATTCTGTTTCTGTGTGGAATAATGTCTTATAAACATCAATAATATGCTATAGAATGAGTTTGTGAGCTTTAAGTAAAGTGGATATATGTGTCTTTATAACTGGATAAAGTTATTGGTAGTTATATTGTGCAGGGGTTTCCAGACTTTAAATGCTAAAGTCCAGGTAAGATCAAAGATTTCATTTTAACCCTTTAAGATTGCATCCTCAGTCACATTGTACCCCTTAACAATATATGGCAAGGAATTTACTATTAACTGTAAAACACAATGTGATGTGTTCTTACGTAAGCATGAACCAACCAATTTCAACCAATAATATCATGACATTCACTTGTCAATCAAACTTTAACTTTTGCAACACAGAGCAAAGATTCATTAGCCAGCAACTGCATGGCTATCTACTGGAGCAAAGTGCTTCTGGGAGCCAGACCTCACTGATGACTGTGCAAAAACAGCGTTACCACTTGTACAAAAGCACTACTTTATCAGTGATAAAATGATGCACTGGATATTTTTAAGGAAAGAATATTGTCGTATTTTCCCTCTGATGTCCTTCATCTGCTCCGCCTAAACTCCCCTAACTGCTAATGTAGCTGCTGTTAGTGTGCAACACCCAGTGAACACAACCTCTGAGACAGACGGAGGCCAGTTTGACCACAGCTGTACCGAGGTGATTTACAGATGGACTAAAGTAGATAACTGTCGCCAACAGTAATGTTGGATGCCATTAGTTTGTGCAGCTAACGTTAGCTGACTAACTGACTTTGTCCTGAGGAGTCTCCTCTGAGTAAATTACAATCAATCTTCCTTTGTTACACTTTCCCAAAAATATGATAAACGATACATTTCCGTGGAGAAACCTGGATGCTTAATCTGCAGGACTTTGACTTGTGCGGTGTTTTTTTCTTGTTGTATTACTTGTATATGAACGGGTCATTCTTTTCCCCCTCCGCCCTCCAGGGTCAGTACGCCCGTTTCAAGCGCTATGTGGGCCACAGTGCCCAGGTGACCAATGTCCGCTGGGCTCAGGACGACTCCACCCTGCTGACGGTGGGCGGTGCCGACACTGCACTAATGATCTGGGCGAGGGAGCGTGGAGGCGGGGTCAGCGGAGAGGGGGAGGGGCCTTTGTGTCGTGACAACCGACCGCACGTGGACAGTGAGGAGTCGGATGATGACACTGAGGAGGACGGAGGTGGGTGTGTCTGTCATTAGAGCTGATTTTAAAAAAGAACACTGACCGTGACGTCAAATCAGTTGACATTTTTTATAGGTAGTTCACGGACAAGTGTCATATTTTATTATTTAAATCTCTTATTCAAAGAAAAAGTTATATGCTTGATTTGTAAAGACTTTATGACCAATAAAAAATAATTACCCAAGACCCAAGCCTGAACCCCACAATTTGGCCGGGATCAGGTTATAGAACTCTTCATTTATGAGTGTGCGTGTCTGTGTGTGTGTGTGTGTGTGTGTGTGTGTGTGTGTGTGTGAAGGTTACGACAGTGACGTTGCTCGGGAGAAGACGGTGGATTACACCACTAAGATGTACGCTGTCAGCCTTAGAGAGATGAGAGGAACCAAACCTCACCAACAGCTGAAGGAGCTATCTGCTGAAGAGAGGTATGCATTGCACACACACACGGTCACCATGACAACAGGTTATTTTAACTAAAATTGTTCAAACAGATTACATTAACTAATACAAGCTCAGTTTTGTAAGTTAAAAAAGATTTTTTTAAACAGCTTTTACTATTTTAAGTCACACCAACTTAGTTTTGTAACTTACAAAATTTAGTTAGTTTTACTAAAATTTTTCAATGCAATGAGTTTCAACAATTTTTTTAGTTAACTTGTCTGGATTTTACAGTACAGTTTGGGTCCACAGTTTAAAGCTGCACCAGACCACTGTGCATCCTGTTGGCGCCCCCTGGGACAGTGACAGGTGTGAAAGTGGGACCCCATGCTGCAGTTTATAAACACTGCTGCCCGTTGGAATTCATCAGATGTAATGAGTAGTTGTATTTCACTTTCACACTCACAGGAAAGCCCCGAAACAGACAGACAGACAGACAGACAGACAGACAGACAGACAGAGAACTGAAGCTGGTAGTAAGATAGACAGAGTAAAGAGACTTAACGTTACTGTTATTTACTGACATCAAACTTTGAGAGGAGACAACACAAATTTACCTGATTCTTGTTGTGACACCCGCTTTGACACAAGGGGGTGATGAGGCCTTTTTGTAATTTGCGGGGCCCTACGCAGCTTGAGTAGTCAGCGTATAGGGTCCTTGGTTCTGGTGGTCCTCCATTTTATATCCCTTAAAGCATCTTCTCTACTAAACTCGTACAGTATTGGGTTGACTATAAACCTGATTTTAAGGTTGTTTTTGAAAAAAGACATTGAGTCTTTCTCTAGAAGTTCACATTTTTCTTTTCTCCTGGTGCAGCTTTAAATGTAGCATAACAATTCAAAGCTTTAGAAACCATCTGGATGCTGCTGTCATTGACATTCAGTGTGATTTCCCTTTAATTCATGCTTTTATGACTTTGCGACACTGCGACTGTCTGTATGAAGTGAACTTAAACATTTTATGAACAATATCATCTTATGCTTGGTGTGTGTCATCAGTGGTCCCAGTGTATGTGTGTTTGTATGTGTGCCCTTATGTACCTGGGTTGGCATGAGTGTATGTGCCTGTGTGTGTGTTTAAAGGTTTTTGCATCTACCGCATGTACGGGCTTCTGCATGCTTGATGAATCTTGATTTGTCCCTTTATGAAAAGTTTATGGCTCAGTTTCCTGTGTGTTTCCACACTGCTAACAGACTATTATCAGTGTCAGTGAGTTTCTGTCTTCAAAACACTCAACAACAAAGGGCCACCTTAAAGGTACAACTGTCACATATCTAAAAACTGGCACCTAATCTTTCAAAACATGATTAACAATGGAATACTAGAACACATAAAAATGTTTTTATAAATTTAAAGAAGCTATCCCATATTTTTTCCAAAATATGACTAAATATACTACTTACATGCTTCAGTTGTGATTTTAAAGCTGCAGTAAGTAACTTTTTTTTTTTTTTGAAAATGACTTTTGGTCATATTTGCTGAAACTTTCACTATATCCTGACAGTAGAACATGAGACAGATAATCTGTGAAACAATCAGGTTCCTCTGGCTCCTCGTAGCACTCTTAATGACATTTGTGACCTTCTCCATCATTTTGAGTCACTTTGACCCAGAAACACATTTTGAGTTTTCTTCATGGCTGTAAAGAGGAAAGTCTCAGCTTTATGGCGATACCAAAATTATTTTTCTACTCCAACAATTGTATGAGACACACCCTTCCAAAGGTTGACTGTCACCAAACCTTGTTTTTGAGAAAAAGGGCTCTAAAGATAGCAATCAACATTCCGCCATATTCCAAATGAATTGAAAGACATTTATAAACAGTTTATATTCAAATAAATAAACTTTACTGCTTTACTGCTTAACATAATTATAATCAGAGACATTGTATGCTACCATCGGGTCAGCCACGAGTGGAATATCTTCCTCCTGGCCTCCGTCACACTCACTTTCTTCGCCATCACGATCGGAGCCGGCCGGTGTCACTCTCACTCTCAGCTGCCGGTGCAGTGAAAAAATCCGTAATAAGGTCGATCCAGTTGTCGTAGCATGTCTTAAATTAATGTCTTGAATTTAAAAGTCGAGCAATTTCGTTGTCGCGAAAATTAATTTTGTCTAGGCTGTCAATCTGTCAATCTGTCTCTGTGTCCGTGTCGATCTAAACTGACAGTTGACAGATGACGTAGATGACACAAACACGCTAGACGGTGTTTTGAACTCTGACACCTGTTTCGTTTTATTTATGCTAGCTATATTTATCCTTTGTATTTTACATTAATTTTGACATGGTATGAAAGCTGAGACTTTATTTAATTAGAAACATGTAAAAACTGAAAATAGCCCAAAATTGTATTTTCTTGTAAAAACGTGTTTCTACACAAACGGGCCGCTGCGACATCCGACTCATTTTGATGGAACGCGTCACATTTGTAAAACTCCACCGGGCCTGAACGAAAACAACCAATCAGAGCCGAGAAAGATAGAAAGATACTTTGGGTTGAAAGCTTGAAGATGATTTTTGAGTCTAATTCAGACTTCCACTCTCAGTATCTGACAACCTGGGAATGAGCTTCCACAATAAACTATCTTTCTTGGCTCTGATTGGTTGTTAGTTCAGGCCTGGTGGATTCCTGCAAATGCCATTAGGAGCACTAGGAGGAGACATCCAGCAAATAGGGCAATCAAGAGTGATGCCGACTTTGCTTTTTTACTCTGAACCAAACTACACCAACTTAATGCTGCTCCAGTGTGTGGTTTTAGATAGCATGCTTTAGATGGTGCTCTGGAAGCAAAAGAGTCTTATTGGTGGTACCTCTACTTCAGTACCCCCTGAAGTGGAAAAGGCCCTAAAGGAGTTTCAGTACCCTCATGTGGTTCTATGCCAAAGACACTTGTTTTTGTCCCTTTGTGGTGCCTTTGCTTCCTGAGTGTTGCTGCTGCTGCTCTCTGGCCTTGCTTGTAGAAACTCTTAATATCTGTGTTGTGTTTTAACTTGCATTCCCCTGGAGGCAGGGCATTGTCAAGTAAGTATGACCTGATACTTACTGTGTAGATGATTTTTAACAGGCAAACTGTCAATGTGATTAGGCTAATTCAATTATATGTGCTGTACAGTATATATTATACATTATCACAAAAACAGGTGCTGGTGAGGCTACCCAGTGATTTAATAGATCTTGGAGTTTCTTTATCTAAATCCATATTTGATTATTTTAGTTATGAACATGACACTCTGTTGCATTCATTCATTAACAGAGAATCAAACTCAGAGTTATAGCATTTTTTTTTTAATCAAAACACTGTTTAACAACTATTTGAAGTCTGTAGAGGAGGTTTGGAGGATATGTCAGGCTGAAACATACAAAACCACCATCTCACCCCTTTAACCACCAATAACCGTCCACAGTCTGACAAAACTAGAGGCCTTACAGGTTCAGTCGCTGCATAGAGAGCCAAAGTTAAACCAGAACTTCCAGGATTTGTTCCAGAAGAAACAAAACTTAATTTGAAATCACACTGACATTTAATAACATAAATTCTGCAGAAATATGTTTATAACCAGTTAAGCTAACCTAATCAACATTATTTGGTAATCTAATGATAATGTTTTGTTATTTGAGCTACATTGGGTTCATTTTACATCATTAGCATTTGGATAAAGTATTGTGTCAGATGTTGGCCATATATTACCTGTTATACCCATTACTCTACTGTATATATTAGCAAGCTAATGCTAGCTACGCAACAGTTATATCTGGCAGTGCCAGGGAGCTGCGTTTTTCTGGATAAAAAGCACATACGTTAACATTTACATTTCTCAACTGATTTCATTGTGTCATTTTTATATTAAAAGGTTTATTTTTTTGTCTCCAGTTAGCTAGAATCTCGATAGCTAGGCTATAATAGCAGTGATACGCCTTATGATTATAACTTTATGATTGTTATGACAATAAATTATTTGACATACACTCCTCTCTCGAGTGTCTTGCTGCTAGTATAGCCTATTAACTAATTAACTGCGGATAACAAAAAGAAATGTAAACGTCGTAGTGCTTTTTATCCAGAAAAAACACAGTTCCCTGGTTTCTCTGTATTTGTTTACAGGCCAGTATTGCCCGATCCAATATGGCAGCGATATCCCAGACGTATCCCAGCAACGGGCGGAAGCGGCCAAAGCACCGTCTGTGTGTTGTGTTTATGGTTATCTCCAATTAGTTAACTCTAGGTTTAACTAATCTTAGTTGAACTTACAAATAGGTTCAACTGGCTCCTGTAACAATACAACTATGTTGTGTCAATCACTACTTGTCTAGACAAGGATGGCGATTTGAAAAAAAAAAGAAAAAATATGTAACATAATTGTTAATATTTTAGTGGCCGCCTGTATAGATGTTTTTATAGAGATTACAGCTAAAAGTTGGAGAATAACACAGGAAGAGAGTGTGGGTGAATATCCTGGATTAGAGAGAAACTCTTACCATGAGACATTAAATTGTCACAATAACACCAACTGCTGCAATAGGTACTCATTCAAACCCTCATTGAGAGATTGTGTTGAGTTCAGACAGAAAGGCACATCAGGATTATGTTTACATAATTTCATGTTTTATCTGTTATGTCTACATGCCTGTTAGTAACATCAGAGAATATTCATTTTACTATTCTCCTCATTGTTTGTTGTCTGAACAAAGTGCTTCTAATAATGTCCCTGTTAAATCAACTACAATTCTTACTTTTTTTTCTTGTTTCTCGTCTTCACTGATTCTCATCCTCTACTTCCTCTCTTTTAAAACCCAGTCTGTTCCTCCTCTCCCTCTCCTCATGTGTCTCTTTCTCCTTTCAAACGCTTCTTCCCATCATCTTTGTGTTTTGTGTAATCAGGAGTGTCTGGGTACGATCCCTCCTCCCTCCACAGCCTGGTTTCGGTCCTGTTCTGTTATCACTCTTTCATCCCACTCAAACAGGTTTCTACATAGAAGCATCTAAAGCCCTATTCAGACGGGATTAACATACAGGGGAAGGTGGGGAAGAAAATATTCACTGTGCTCCTCGGTAATTTAACTTTAAATTAGACGACACCAGAGGACATTGTAACCATCCGGAAATGACAGGATGTGGTCTGTAATAGACATTAAGCAGAACAGAGACCAAAGAGAAAGACTAAAGCTGCCCCAGGGGGCGCCAGAGAGGTGTCAGAAACACAGTGACTTCCACTTCTTGAAGGTATCATTTTCTCTACAGTCCATTCAGAATAAAGGTCCATATCTCCACTTAGAAATCATAGAAAAAGATGCTTCAGAACATGCCTGAGAATCACCATGTGTCTGTTTATCAAGTTCTCTTCAGTATCAAAGTCATTCAGTGATAGCAGTCTGTACATCCATGTTGCCCTACAATGGCAAAAGATCTCAACTCACCAAATGACTTTCAAGTTGTTTTATTGTTCAGCTAAATGAATTGAAATCAATGCAGAATGTTTGAAATGTATCAATTATTTGTGTTTTTAATGAGGAGGTCAAACTTGACCTTTGACCCTTTTTTGGAAGTTAAGGTACTCTGCCTTTGCATTGTCTGTATAATAATATGGGGTCCTGCCAAAACAAAATGCATTAACATACATTTGATCACTCACTCGGTTAACTGATCACTAAATAAAATCCGTATATGATAGTATGGATAACATCTACATAAAATCTAGTGAGCCTAGCGCAGGTATGCTAGCAGCTTTTAGTCAAGTAGTTAGCTTAAGCTAGCTAATAGCAATTTTTGCAGATTGCCTATTTATCTGTCTTTGTTGTAGCCATCAGATAAGAAAAATCTAATTTTTCACACAAAAGTCAAATAACACCTTGAGCTGAAGATAAAATAAAGAAAGTAGAAGGACCAGACGTAGGGGTTTCATTTAGATTACAGGAGGACCAGTGAGTGAGTTCACAGACACACAGGAGGTCCCTGTGGCTGCACAGGGTCAGACTTTAAAACCCCCTGGACCAAATCCACTGTTGACCCTGATAAAAGCTCCCTGTAGCGGGGTTAGCGGGTACAAAGAAATGCAGGTAAACATGAACTCACCTCATTTGTTCTTCACCTGGTACTGAAAACTGACTCTCAGACTGCCTGTGCATGTTAGCCTGTGAACACAAGTGGCTACGCTAGCATGTTAGCCTGAGAGCCTGGAAATAAAAACAACCACCAGTTGCATGCTAGCATTTTGTTAGCATGTAGCTACAGCCACTGCTAGTCACATTAGAGTTTCTCTGCGGTAGAGGTCTTCATGGGTCCAAACATTTGTGCCCAAACCCAGAAATGTACTATCCAGACCTGGGTCGGCCCTCGGGTCCTAGGGTTCGGGTGGGCCTGTGGAGACCTCTACTCTGAGGCATGAGATCTTTGTGTGTGTGTGTGTGTGAGTGTGAGTGTGTGTGTGTGTGTGTGTGTGTGTGTTTTTTCTAAAGCTCTGTACCTTGGTTCTGTCCCTCTGCTGTCCAGGGGATCCAGGTAACACCTGTCCACCTGTCTGTCCAACTTTACTGTCTGTCTGTGCATTCACTTTGTGTGTTTGTGTGTGTGTGCGTGCGTGTGTGTGCATGAGTGTACCACGCTGTTGGCATTACCACACACACTGTCCTTTCTGGAGTTATCATCCAGTAGTAGTACTGTTACTACTGTTACTTGCTGTTTTACTTTTTTCTCTTGCAGTACCTTTACCATTACTGATACCACTATTACCACTCTAGTACTGCTACAAATACAACAAACACGAGTACTATTGTGATTGTGTCACTCCTGCTACCGTAGGACCATTACTACATTTTATATTGTTACTTCTACTGCTAGCACTCACTTTACTTCAGCTACTATAGCTGTCATCACTACTGGCTGGTGTTAATGTTGCTACAGCTGCTAATACTGCTAACACTATACGGTTACTACTACTGTTACTACCACTGCTGCGACTAAAACTACTAATACAGTATCTACTTCTACTGAATATTATTTATAATATAGTTATATATTACTCCTGTTACTTCTTTTACTATTACTGTGACCTCTGTAAATATTACTATTTGTATTACTACTACTATAATTTAAACTATTACCATTGCTTGTACCATTACTATACCTTTACTGTTAGTTGCTTACTAGTACCACTACCAGTACTACTACTTCTTCTTTTGCTAGTACCCTGCTTGGTATTGCTAACGCTACTACTCCTGTTGTTACTAGTTACTACTAACTAGTCATTATTACTACCACTGACAACATTACGGCTGTGACTAAAACTGCTACTATTACAGTGTCTACCTCTACAGTGTAACTAGTTACTACTATTACTCATTTCACTACTACTACAATTGCTACTATGACTACCACTGTAACTATTACTACCATAAAACTTCAATCAGTAGCCTGGGCTTTTATTGGCTTCAACAACTGAACCCAACCTGCCTTTATTTGGAACAGGCCTTTAATTCCTTTTGTACAAAACTCTTGCTCAGCAAAGATGAAAAACACTATCAGATAGTTAATTAAACCAGTATGAATATTATTATTATTATTATTATTATTAAAAATTAGAATAACATATCAATTACATTCATTTGATCATTTGATACTTTGGTGCTCGTGGTTTCTGTAAAATGAACTAATGATTGAATTGTGGAGAATCAAACTGATCTAACAATGTGCAGCATATCCATATTCACAAAGTTTAAACATTTATATTTGTGTAAGAACTTGCTCAAGTGGATTTTTAAGAGGTTTTATACATCCAAAGACCTATGAAATCCAGACCAGACTTCTAATTGAGACCTGCCTTTATTTATCAAAATGTTTAGCCACACCCGTCCGGTAAGGGAGAGCTGTTTCTAACTGAAGTTTTACAGTACTTGTATTTAGCTTCTACTACTATTAACTCTACTGTGCCAGCTCTTACCAGTACAAATACTACTATTAATATCACTGCTTTGCATCTGATACTACTGCACTGCTGATGCTGTTAGGTCTAACTACTATTTTGACTACTAATGCTACTATTATTGCTGCAATACTACTACTACCACACTAGTGCTGCTATTATTATTTGTAGACCAGTGGGTTAGGGATTACGACAGAGGTCATAGGTCAGGTTATAAAGAACTAACTCTACTGTAATACTACCATTAATATTACTGCTTTATCCATGAAGTACCAGAAGCATCACAGCCCGCTGCAAGAAAACACCATCTGTCTATGGCACACCTGTCTGTCTCTATTGTCTCACATCTGTCCTACCTGCCTGTCTGCAGACTGACCATGCTGTCTCACTGATTGTCCTTCCACCTGTCTGCCTCTGCTGTGGGATGTGACTGTTTACCTTTGACTGGTTGACTGATTAATTGACTGATTAACCCTCCAGGCCTCCAGTGAGTCGAGCGGCACCGCAGCCAGAGAAACTCCAGAAGAACAACGTCTCCAAGAAAAAGAGACTGGTCGAGGTATGCCTGTCTCTCTGCCTGACTCTCTCTCAGTCTGCCTGTCCGTCCACCTGATTATCCGTCTCCTCTGTCTCCTCCTCCCGTAGGACCTGGTTTTGGATCATGTGTTCGGTTTTCGGGGCTTCGATTGTCGTAACAACCTGCACTACCTCAACGATGGCACCGACATCGTCTACCACACTGCCGCCACTGCCATCGTCCACAGTCTCAGCAACGGTAACCACGGCAACACCACGTCCTAATACACACTTTTGACCTTATGTGACTTGTAGAGAATTATCAGCTGAATGTGCAGCTCCCCTCGGTTTTACAGAGCTTTATAGTGAGTTTCAGCTTATTGTTAATCTGTCCAGCCACACCTCGACCATTTGGTACACACTTCACACTATCATAACGTTTTTTTCTGAAAACAGACAGAAAACTTCTGCTTGGCTTCACTTCACAGACTTAGAAGCTCTGTTCATTATATATACTGGTTACAACCTGTTCACACATTGGCAAAACAAAGTGATTAATATGTAAAATAATACATAAATGCTTATATAACCTTTAATTCACTGATGAAGTGTTGTCTAGACAAACACAGCTGCTGCAGTGGCAGTCGAACTTGTGATGCATTTATGTGTCTTCATCTGCTGCAGGAACTCAGAGTTTCTACCTGGAACACACTGATGACCTGCTCTCTTTGACTGTCAACCAGCACCCGAAGTATAAAAATATCATCGCCACTGGACAGATCGGTACACTGAGTCTCTGTGTGTGTGTTTCTGCATGGCCGTGTGTTTCTCTACTAACTCGTCTGTAGCTACTAAATGAGTCCTGCTTTTCTTTCCTCTGCTTCATGTTTAACCTGCTTGCTTTACTTTTTGTCCACCGACAGAATAGAAATAGACTGATAGCACGAACATGGAGGAAGCTTTTCCTCTTGAATAAGAAATACCACAATTTGGGCAAGGCAAAGGGACTGTATTGAAATTATGAGTCAGGAGGAGGTGTCAGCAAAGGTGCAGGGTTATGTACTTGTTCTCTGTCCGACTTTTTTCAGAGGGCAGGAGAGGGTCTTTTTACTTTTTCTTACCATCACCCATATTTCTATTTGATTTCAGCCTTCCCTTGTGAGCTTTGTTATACTGTATATAAAATAGAAACATCAGACAGATCTCCATGGGTAATAAATGTGCTTTTTGGCCACATTCTGCTTTATGTTCCTCATTAAAATTAGCAACCTGGTGCAATCATGTGATAATCTCTAGAAACAAATATCTGCATATGAAGGCTGAATCTGTAGACACAGGATTTTGGTGGCATTCTGGTTTCCATTTGTAGTCTCAGTAGTTTTGACCAATCCCGTTTGAGCGGGCTATCATATGATGACGATTTAGCTTTTTTTAGCCATTGCCCCCAGAGGCTAAATCGCTGTCACATGGTAGCTGTTGGGGTACGAGATTGCTCATGTAACATATATAATAGTTTTTAGGAATTCTTCATTCAAAAATCAATATTTCTTTTGTGATACTGGAGGGATCGTGGAGCAGAAAATCTAAAGTGTCCTCAGGGTAGAGCCAGAGGGAACGTCAGAGACTAGCTGGGGAACATAGCGGTGGAGACCAAAAACATAACTAAAAGAGAGCCATAATATTTGACTTCCATTCATCATGACAGAAACACGACTCCAAATGAATGCTAGTTAATGGTCCATAACTGCCAGATGTGTAAATAAGCAACTGTTTGTTAACAAGTTGAACATATCAACTTAAAAGGTGATATTTAATGTTGTGTTTACAGCTTGTTTCTCCTGAAAACAAGTGGATAAATAAATCAGTTACTGGAGGTATACGCCTCGCTAGTATCGCGGTTAACCCATATTATGTACATTAGCCTGATTTAAACAGCAAGAATCACCCATTAATATCTCTATTTACTGTCATGGCTGACGTAAGCCTGTTTAAAACAACTCATTACAGGTTTTTATCTGTTTTTTTTTAATGTTTTGTTTTTGTATGTGTGTGTTTTGGCTGGCCTCATTTGTCACCGTCGCTCTCACAACACGTCAGGTGACGTCAGTGAACTCCCAGGTAAAAACCAAGCCGCACCGCCTTTCCCTCCACAACAGACACCCTGACACCCAGAGACAACCTGCAGGCTGTCCATCAGGACTTTTAGGAGCGGGACAACATAAAATAAAACATCCGGCCATGTTATAACATCAAGCTGTTTTATCAGCATGAGTCAGAAAATGTGGCTGCTGCAAAGAACTGATTCAGACAGCACACATTTTCTGTGATTTAACCAAACTGATGTTTTGTATGGTTCGATTTCCAAATCATCCATGAAGATTTTAGATTGATTTCCTTCCCTCCAGGCAGCTGTGGTTCCAGTTCAGGTCGAGGAAAATCAACAGACATCATCATCATGCTCATTTACGATTCAAAACTGTATTTTTTGTTCGTCCGGACTGTAGGACATTTTTCCTTGTTGGTGCTCGTGTAAAAATCTAAAAATTCATTTATATCTACAGGAGGATGTTACAGTCATTCACTTATTCATCTGAAAGTTTTTATAAATAATGCCCGAAGCAAACAAATTCACACGATCCTCATCACAGCCCCAGCCCAGCCCCTATTGTTTGTGTTGATATCGGCAGAATGAAATCAACTGAAGCATGCCTGGGGGAAAAAAGGAAATTAATCTAAAAACTGCTTTGATGACGATGCCATCAGTGCTTCCAACATTGAAGCACCTCAGTACTTTATGCTGATGTCGTTCTGGTTCTCAGGGTGTTTGTAGGCTGCATTGATCCCTCTAACTGCTCTGTTGTGGTCTATAAACTTTTTGTGACATAACCCAACCTTGATTTATATCCTCTTTCTCTCTCTCTCTCTGAATGTCTCCTAATCTTCATGTAGGCACCACTCCTTCGATCCACATATGGGACGCGATGAGTAAACAGACTCTGTCCATCCTTCGCTGTCCTCACACTAAAGGCGTCGGCTACGTTAACTTCAGCGCCACGGGGAAGCTGCTGCTGTCTGTCGGGGTGGAACCTGAACACACCATCACTGTGTGGCGCTGGCAGGAAGGTCAGACTGACATCTTATCAATAACCATGAAAATGCACCCACAGTAATACCAAAAAACGGCTGTTTAGCTGTTATTAATAGCTACAACTTAAGTATAACTAAAACCATAAATTGTGGGAGCTCCACCCCTCCAGCAAATAATAACAGGCAGCAGAGAGAATCATGTGGTCATAGCTACAGTGTGTGTGAGGCGGGAGGTAACACAATAGCAGGAGCACAGCAGCTTACCAGCCATGAGCAGCTGCTGTCAGTCTCTCTGTGTCCGTGCTGCAAACACACACAGTCTGCCAGAGCTTTGACACTAGAAGAACATTTACAGCCGTTTCTAAAAGGTTCTCTGTGGTACCTGTGTTGTAACGTTAGCTAAGATAGTGGCTAATACTGTGTCTCAACTTGAATACTTCCATACTTACACTAACTATTTTGAGTACATAAATGTGTTCACGCTTTCGAAGTGGGCAAGATGCAGTGCACTGCAAGTACCCTGATAGTGCACACGTAAAGCAAAATGTTGAGTGTGGAACGCTGGACACTGACCACGAACATTTACTGCGTAGACAGTGAAAATTCCACCTTGCATGAAATGGGGGACACACAGGCAATAAAAAGTAGAAGCTGGTTCATTTTTTGATTAACATCATGAAGAAATCCAGTGGGAAAAAACCAGTACGTAGGGTTAATTTTTTAGCAAAATATGTAGCATTCAAATACCTATTGCTAAAATGTCCAGATTTAGACCTGAATCAGTCAACAACACTAGCAAATACCCATATACAGAGGCTTTTGGGTTTATCTTCCATGTGTTGGCCCAGGTCAGATATTATTAACAATTTTATAAACTAATGCCGACATTGAGTTACTAATTCAATTACTGATTATTTGTATATTTTCAGGCTGAGGAAAGCTTACATTTAAAGATTTTTTTGCTCCACTGACTGAGCTGACCAATACTCAGATAATGTTGGTCACATACCGATTACCGCCACAAAATATTGATGCGTGTGTCACACTAATTTAGGCTTTCTTTTGGCAATAAACACAGCATGAGGTCAAACAAAGCACAGCTGATAGAGTGTGTAAATGGTGTAAGAATAGTCATTTAGATTAGACCAGGACCGAATACTGAAGGTGTCTCCACTGCAGGGTCCAAGGTGTGCAGTAAAGCAGGACACCCGGACCGGATCTTCGTGGTGGAGTTTCGTCCAGACTCTGACTCCCAGTTCGTGTCGGTGGGAATCAAACACGTGAAGTTCTGGACACTAGCCGGCGGCTCTCTGATGTACAAGAAGGGAGTGGTGGGAACGGTGGAGGACGGCAGGATGCAGACGATGCTGTCTGTCGCCTTCGGTGCTGTAAGTTCACTGCGGACTTATTGTTGTTGTTTGTAAAATCTGATATCCTGAGGTCTTATCACCTGATACAGGAAACTACTCGGACTAAGATCCGCCATAAAACAGGTTTTACTCATAACTTCTGTGTACAGTGTACAATGTCCAATCTCAATGAAACTTCACGTTTGTTTAAGAGTCCCGCCTTGAACACGTCTACATGACAATATTAAGATATAGTGATAGCGCCACCTACTGCCAACAGGAAGTAAGCGCTGCATGGCGATTTTGATCTTGCGTGACATTTTCATGTTGTGGTCCACACATTATAAGCTGGTGCATCACACGGCCGCAGGACACCCTGACACACACAGACTGCAAATATTTGTTGGTATTTTTACTGTAATTACAACATTATGAACTAATAATATTGATTACAACATAATGATTTTTAAAATGTTCTTTACCTCAAATTGTAATATTATCCAGATATTAATTTGTAGATATACATGACATTAAATGATGTAGGAATATTTTATACCCATCATCGTGACAAGCTAATTAATGCATTTCTTCTTTGATTCTATGTAAATGTTACATGTGAGGAATGTAGACCTCATAACATGATTATTTTATTCTTAAGTCATCAATTTATCCATTTAAAAGCTATACTATAATATACGATTGTTTTAGAAGTGCAATAATAAGTTCAATTGCTTAGTAACTGCGCAATAGAAAGAAACCAGTGCTATCAAAATTAGTCACAGCATTACTTTACATTTAGTTGTTTAACAGTATCTGAACCAAAGAACAGAACACAGACAGAGTGAATGGAAGTTTCACAGTTGATTTAGTTTAACCTAATTGTGGAGATAGTGGATTGTTCCAAAAGTCATTCAGAGTCAGCTGGGCTCCTGACAGGCAGAATTCAGGAAGAAACCCTGAAACAGAGACACAGGTACAAAAGACAATGAGGAATTATCAACAATGTAAGTTTAGTAACTGAATAAGCTCTCAAAGACTTGAGTGACAAAACAAGGTAGACATGCTGCAAAGTGTTGAATGGTGGATGATTCACAGGTGTGCAGACGATTGCAGCACGAGGGGCATTGGCCCAAAATCCAAACAGACACACACACAGAATAATAACACAGGAGACTGATGGGACGGGAAACTGTTAACAGTAGAAAACTATTGATTTGCAACAACTTATAAATGACAATTCTTAGAAACAATTAACTCAGTTAAAATCATATTTGCTTTCATGAAGATGTCAAAACAATTAGCAGGGCACCGCAGGGAATCGAACCCCATCCCAGTAAACCAGGAGTACAGTTACCGGAGCCTTTTGCTTTTTGACTCTACATGGAAGGCGAAGCAAAACCTGCATTATCAATAGCATTTGAAATAATGTCATAATTGTACATTACTTTATTTCTAAATGTGGATAATTATTTAGTTCTGTTTGCAATATTTTTTGTAAAAACTGCTATAAGCAAAATGTTTAAGAATATGTTATCTTAAATGCTATTGTAATGCAGGAAAAAGAAACCTTTTGGGATACAGAGAAACACACATATTCAGAGGAAAAATGTATATTATCTGTTTTTATATTACATAGTATTATATAGCTGTTCAAAGTCCTAGATGTAAAAGAACAAACAATCCCCTTGTGGTCACTGAAATATGTGACCAAACACTCATATTGTGATGTTTTCACATACACATGATCAATTAATGTGCCTTTCTCAGTTGTTGGTTGTGTTCCAGTTTGGACAAACCCTGTGTCATAAACTTGCAGATTGTGAAAGAATTTAAAATATTATCATTAAAGTCTCCCATGACAGCCATTGTGTTACTTTGCAGATCCAACCAATCAAGTAATTTACCTCAATTTAGTTTGACCAAAGTCATGGGATAAGATGGTGGTCGATAAATAACTGCTATCAATAAATTGTGTGCAGTGCAGTTGTAAACCAAACATTCTAAATTTACATTTGGTGTTTGGAGAACATTATATGTCAGATCTTCTGCACTGTACATGCCAACACCACCATGTTGTTGGCCTTGTATTTCTCCCAATGTTGGGTTGCTGCTACTGCAAGATAAACTTCATGGATGATTATGAAAATTATAACCATCTATCTTAAAGCGTCAAGTGGGGAACCTGCAGGCAGACATGTTTTTGTAACAGCAATACAGTTAAGCTGCAAATGCTGTGTACACAATGCCAAATCTGATACATGATTAATTAAATTTTGGACATTCATGATAAACACATTAAAGGTTTGTGTAGTGAATTTGTGCCTTGTCATATTTTTGACCAAGAAGGGAGGCATGTTTTCAATTGCATCCTTAATACTATCCTTACAATATATAGCTTTCTGTTCATAATCTGTAACAACCAAACCTGACAAACTCCTAACCCGACTTAAAGCCATGCAAGTCTGTCCAGGTGCAAATATTCTTTTAATGGATAACAGCTTTGTCCACAGTAAGACCTTGTTCCTCATGTACTGTACAAGCCTACACAAGTTTAACAGGAAATTGACAACACATTCCAACTTTATTTGTGACCCTTTCCTCCTCAGGTTCAATTCCTGTGGAACCCATGTCAACCACTACAGTATTTGCACAGCATTTCCTCCTCTGTGCGCCAACTTCAGGGTCATCAAATTTAAAATAAACCATGCGAGGAAGCTTAAGAGTGTCTGGATAAACTCTGTTACAATGCCACACACGCAGTTAACCAAACCATCATCTACATCTATATTTTTAAGTAACACGATGGGGGCATCCTTCCCCAAAAGCAGCACCTCATCTAAACATGTATTATATGTCCTACTATGCTGTCTCTTCATCAGCTCAAGCTTGCCTGTTTTCTTGCTATTAACAAAATCTTGAGCTAACTATTGTAATGTGCATCCTCGTTGGTGCTCAGACTGGTCCCAGCCTCTTGGCACACGACCCAACCAATTCCGAGAGACAGCGCCCTAAAAGAAAAATTATTCCACCCTGCTCTCCCTAATAACTGAATATTACTTATGAAACCAGAGCCACGGTCACATCTGGGTGCCTTCAACCTTGAAGATAACCACTCTACCTCCCCCAGCCAGGTGTTTGCAGCTAGATGAGACTGTCTCTGTGCTTCTTATCTTTGTGCATTAGCTTTGAGAAATGCAGGCTTCCACATCTGTGTGTATTATAATAAACTGAAATGACTAATACCTAACATTTGTAGCAAAAATGTGTACAGCTGAGCCGACTTCAGTCGCACAATGTTTTAATATATCTATATCACCATCTAACATTGGCATACCCTTTGAATGTGTTCTAACCCTGTTCAGCAACTCTGCAAACACAAGATCTTTTTGACGAACTATAGTTTTTAATTCCACTATCTTAAATAAGTTAGCCCACAAATCACAACCTATATCGTCTACATACAGTGGTTCCCTTCAACGGGAGACAACTGGAAAAAATCTCTTACTGCAATCACACTAACATTTCCAAACGGGGAATAGCCACCACATTGCCCAATTTGCCGTAATCTTCCATGGATCCAACCAATCCAACTTTATTTGTTAAGCACTAGAGCTTAAAAACAACCAAATTGACCAAAGTTTACAGGAAATAATAACATATAAAGATGTTGGAGATCTCAATTATCAAAATCTGCAAGCTACTGTATTTAGCACGTAAAGAATTAAGCTTTTTTTCCACCCAAAAAGGTGTGCAAGATAGGCGTTAATCTTTATCAATGCTAAATGCACGGTGAGTAGTAGCTGCATGTAAATTGCATGCAGCTATCCCTGTCGGATGACGAGACAGTCAACAGCCTCATAGCCTCATACTGAATAGCCTTTATCAAGTGGCTCTTACCTGTCCCCGCCCCACCTGTAACAAACACATGTAATGGGTCTGGGTTCCCCCCCCCCCATTACCTTATCTAAACACCACTGTCTAACCTGATAAAAAAATATATACATCTGTGTCTCATTTAGAGATCCAATGCCAGACTGTCACTTCTGCAACTTGCTCCCTACTAACAGCTAAATCCAGTATATTTTCTATGTGCTCATACACTGTTTTTCCATTTCTAATCAAGTCTATGCACTCTAAACGTTCCAATTCTTGCTCTGGGCAAAGCTGGCACCAGGCATCTTCAACAACACCATCACTATCAATTTCATTTTGGATATTATCCAACACTTTGGCATCAATCTCAAATTTGTCTCTATTTAAATCAACTACTGTCTTCACTAAGCTGACACAACCATGGTTGTAAAACTGCTCATAAGTCTCAAAACCTTCTGGTTTGAGCTGAGCATCTTCATGGTACGGCATAACTGCAAAATACTCTGATAGAACAGTTCCGGGTTCTTTGTTTCAGAAAAGCGCACATAACGAACCACTGCAGGTTGCGTACGTGTTCTTTTCAAAATGAAACGTCAATTTTTGGTTAACAGAATTCTATTAACAGAGGTTTGCTTTTTACATAGAATCCGATACTCCGAAGCAAATGTTGCTATACACATTTGATTAAAAGTTACATCTCTTGGCCTATTCTTGTACCTATCAACATAACTAGTCATCCACATATCTTCAGTTGTAAGATCATGTGATGCCTTTTGTTATAACACACTTAAAGGCAGACTCATTTTAACATTGTCCCCTACAGGCACAAGTGTGACCTTCCTGAAACATTCTTTAAACGCATACTTGTTAATTTATACACTGACACTACATTTTTCAGTGCATCTTTAGCACTAACATTACCTCCCGTCTCTCTTTCTGCTTTAGAAATCTAGGAAATAATATAAACTACACATGCATAGGCATCAACAACGTACTGGATATCAATATTAGTATTCCAGCACTTCAATAGTGGTTTGCTATATTGATTTATCCAAACTTCATTAGCCTGCCTTTTCAAAACAACCTCAGTCTTCCTACCAATGCAATTATACACCATTTCAAAAAGTGTTTGATTTACACCCACATGTCTAAACAATTGTTCTACAGTGTCAAAGCTAGCATTGTCATCTGAAAGCCTTATTAATGTCAAAAAGAATGTTCACTGCAAGCTCTTTTTTCATTTTGTCAGATTCTCTCCCCCACCCCCCTTTAATCTTATTTGATTAATCTACCTTACACTCTCATTTTCTTCACTATCAATGTGAGAAATGTCATAGCTGATGCCGGCCTTGGAAAATTGAAACATACAGTATTATTCTTTACAAGATTTTGAATGTCGCTTTGAACTAACGTGACAATGTCAAGCGATGCTCTCTTCTGTCATGATACGTACTACATCCCTGTGAAAACACTGGGAAGCATTTTGCTTCGTTTGTAATATCTGACAGCAATTTCACAGGACTTTTACCTTCTGCTGGCACTAAATTCAGTATATCATCAAAATAGTGATCCAGTGCTTCCTGGCCACCTTTCGGTAATGCTAATATCTTCATGGTATGTGTAATGCTAGTCAATGTTGCTCTAAGCTATTTAAACAAGCCAATTCAGGTGGAATGGGATGAACTGCCAAATGGTTTAATGTACATTCAGGTGGCATTGTACCTCCTACTAATTTTACAATGACAACTGTGACAGATCCACAAATTACCTCTAGCTGTATTTAACCACTGACATGGCATTACTCCTATCTTATTATAATCAGCTCTTTCACAAGTTTTAACCTGATGTCTAAAAAGCTGTCTATGGCAAACACAACAAACAAAATCTGGCCCAAAACCTGCTCCATTACAAAATCAAACTGCTGTGAGTTCTTCTATTTGCTACAACCTTATTTTATTACTTGCTGACACACGTTTATTCTCAGGATTTCCATGATACTTTGCTCTACTCATTTCCCTAACTTTATGACCATGCAAAGTATTGTTGATATTTACGTTTACTAATTTCCCTAACTTCTTGACTATGCGAAGGATCGTTACGATATTTCAATTTACTCATTCCCTTACGTTTCTGCCTATCCAACAGGTCTTGATATTTAAGTATCATTTGGAAGTACTGCTTCCTTTTCAAATACTTACTGATATTTGCAGTACTATGTGTCTGTACTTTTGAATTCCTTGCAGATGAATTACTGACTTTAGACAAATCAATGCAAACCTGCTTTGATTTGATTAAACTTAAATGTACTACACTCCTTTTCGGTGACATCATTCTCAATTACCACAACGTCTGCAACCACAAAACTTGAAGTTGCAACTGTATTCAAACTGTCTACACAAACATTTTTGGCTCTACTGTGCTGCCTAAGGTTGTACCCTCTGGAAGAAGACACATCTACTTTGCAGTAACTATAGCAACACTGCATGTTCGGCTGCTGAACACAAACTACTGTCATAATGGTTACCATTACAATTTTCCAAATAAATTCCTTGATTTGACAACGGCCTGTACTTACAGCTCTATTTAAGCCAGCGACAATCACAGTATGCTAATATGCTTACTCCAAAAAAAATCTGCTGCTGCTTGAATCTCTACTTCAGTGGCCCAGCTACAGTCATTGGCCATTTTTGACACGGTGAGATATTCCTCCATTGAAGAATACTCAGATCTAAAAATACCACCATTATCTTTCAAATGCTTAACTACAGCAAGTCTAATTTTCCTGTGATACTTCTGTGTACCACACACAGCCTGACTAACTGCTCTAAAGAAACACAACTTCACCACAAAGCGGTTTAAACTGGAGTCCTTTACTCGTAACATCACCTACAAAAACATCTGATTTCACTGCAGCAAAATCACTGCTTTTTAACTTCTTTGATGAAGACACTCCTTGAAATTCTCATTTCCAACTGGACATCTGTGGATTACACAAACACCAGCAATCTCAAACAGTTTGGGAGGTTTTAATACTGTTGCAAATTTGCAGATGTGATCAAATACATCTACGCAAGTGAAATACACAACACTCTTCCCTTTACCATCTACACTGCGTGCATGCGAATCAACCACAGCAAAACGGCCACCTTGACCAATGATTGCACATGTATTTTCACGCAATGTCAGAAAACGTGTCATATTTAATAGATACCTTTTCTAATCCAGTCCTAAGACTTGTGTATACACCAGCATCAATCAGATCACCTGCCACTACATCAATATTTCCTGAAACAAAATCCTCATACTCAACATCATATGTCTGGCCATCAATAACAGACTGTTGGGGCAAATCTGGAACACAAAGCAGTTCAGAATCCTCACTGGTTGTCTCGCAACACATTGTAAAGCGTATTACCTAAAACAACAACAACCTTTTAATGGAGTGTTTTGCTACCAAACTGATTGCCATGCACTGAACTCCACCGTGTTAAAACCAAGGATCCCCCTGATGGAAAGATCCCCTGACAGAACTTACATTACTCTGTACCCTAACTGAACTGCCACCCTCAACTACAGCTGCAGTTGCAACTGTGACATCAACATCTACATCTGTCTGCAATGTAGCACTGTCAATGTCAGGATCACCTAAACCTGCCTATACAGACATGCTGCTAATGGCATACCACTCTGCAAGCTGGTTATTCACCTGAAAGCTATGGATGTGTCCCCAAGACAACTGCTCTGACCGCACACCACACAGAAAACAAGAAACTAAAAAAATAAATAACAAGCCCAAATGAACTATGTTGCTAATACCTAAACAGGAAGACTCCACAGAAGCCAAAACATACCACACTAGAGGACCAAACAGTCACTTCTGCTAGCTCCTAACTGTCTACTCATGGCAACACCTGCTAACTGCAGGACCAAACTCCCCCTGAATGAAAACGATCAAATCAACCAAATCTTATCCAAAAATGCATCTCCCCAAACAAAGAATGTGCCAAATTTAACATATGCCTCAGCCAAAACCAATGTACTTGCAAACAAATAACCCTACATCAACCAGGGTGCCAAATAATGGCCACAAACAAATCAAGTTTGAAGCAACGAGCCATGACGGACAATGGGAGGGGAGGGGAGGGAAGGGGAGGGAGAGAGGGAGAGAGGGAGAGAGGGAGGGAGAGAGAGAGAGAGAGAGAGAGCACTGAGCTCCCAGAGGGTTTTTAAAGGCGCATGGCACACAGGCCTCAGGTGTGTCCAATTTGCTGACGACCCTCTGCCATGCCCAGTTCAAAAGTCTATGTAGCTCACCCAGCAGTCTCCCTCACTCTCTTGTTGATGGACAATTTAGCTCACTTTACATTATCTCTCTCTTCAACTAACTTAAAGACATAATAATTTAACCAGAGCATCCAGACAAGAGAGTATTTCCGTCAGTTCTGTTATTTTACCTGGAAAGTACAACAAATATTTCTTGATATGGAAATGTGATTATTAGGTTTTCACTCACGTAAAAACAGAGATGAGTATAATTCTGTAACCGGTAACTTTTTCTTCCTAAATGTGTGTTTGCAGAACAACTTAACGTTCACTGGAGCCATTAACGGGGACGTTTACGTGTGGCGGGATCACTACCTGCTGAGGGTGGTGGCCAAGGCTCACACCGGGCCAGTCTTCACCATGTACACCACGCTGAGAGACGGACTCATCGTCACCGGCGGGAAGGAAAGGCCGTGAGTAACAGCGGATTGTATCTCAAGTGACAATCTGTCAAACAACGGCTTCCAAACATCATAACATTAATTACTTTTATCATTGAGCTTAATACACTTCAAATTAATCAGTATGATAAGATGAGTTTGTCACATTTCAAAAGTCCCTCTGTATCTCTTTCCTTCTAACTCCAGCAATAAAACAATCTAATTTAATAAAATAAAAAACACTGTGTGTACACTGTGAAGGATGTCCATATGTTGTCATGGGTAAGCTGTGACTGTGCCCCACTATCCAGTGGCCTGCCACCTCCCTACGTAACAGTCACCTTTCATCCTTTAAAAAAATATGTAATTTTTATGCTTCCAGTAATGTTTCCTACAAATGAAACTGTCCCAAACTATCACATTTCAACCATTATAATACCCACGGGAACGTCCTTTGTGACATTAATGCCATAGGCCAGACCGTCTCCGTGCACCCAAGGCTTGGCTGAACGTGTACATATGTCATTTGTGTGGATAAAGTTAAAGATTTGACCATTACAGCGATTTAAAAAACAGGCATGTCTTCTTTTGTCAGAGTCCTATGTCCTATGGACTGCATTGAAAATGTGTCCAGTCTTATTATTTAGTGAATGCAATGTGCTTTTGAACATTTGTATTCTGATGATCTGCAGGACTAAGGAGGGTGGCGCGGTGAAGCTCTGGGATCAGGAGATGAAGCGCTGTCGAGCCTTCCAGCTGGAGACGGGACAGCAGGTGGAGTGTGTCCGATCCGTCTGCAGAGGCAAGGTGAGAACTTCAGATTTTTATCTTCAGCTCTCAGTCGTCATCCTCCCTCCGTCCTCCTCATCACCCCAGTCTTCTTCTTCCTCAGGGTAAGATCCTGGTGGGGACAAAGGACGGGGAGATCATCGAGGTCGGGGAGAAGAATGCTGCGTCTAACCTGCTGCTGGACAGTCACGCTCGGGGAGGAATCTGGGGTCTGACTGCTCATCCCACTAAAGATCTCTGCATCACCGCCAGCGACGACGCCACCATCCGACTGTGGGACCTCACTGATAAGGTACGCACACGCAGTTTAACATGTAGTTGCTGGAAGCATTAAAGATGCCAGCTATAAAGTTTCCTGAATTATCTTTTTTTCACTTGAACAGTATATTGTATTTTTCTTTTTGTTTTCTCTTTCTGTAGAAACTGTTGAACAAGGTGTGTGTCGGCCACGCAGCACGGTGTGTGAGCTACAGTGCAGATGGAGACATGCTGGCGGTGGGGATGAAGAACGGCGAGTTCCTCCTCCTCCTCGCCAACACACTAAAGATGTGGGCGAAGAAACGAGACCGCAGCGTCGCCATCCAGGACATCCGGTGGGAGAGATGCTATTGAAATACAACCGAATTTGGGCATTTCACAAATATAATACAATAACAATGAACCAAAAAAACAACAAATGTTTAAAAATACAATTGAGGTATTATCTAATTAAAAAAATTAACTGTGCTGCATACATTTCCAGAACAGAACTTTGAATGTTGGATAAGGTTAAAAATTCTTACTTACTTCTATGTGAGTGAACTGTGTGTGTGTGTATGTGTATGTGTATGTGTGTATATGTGCAGGTTCAGTCCGAACCGGCGACTGTTGGCAGTTGGTTCGGTGGAGAACACGGTGGATGTTTACGATGTGAGCGGAGGACCAAATCTGAACCGGCTGGTTTACTGCAGCGAAATCCCTGCTTTCATCCTGCAGCTTGACTTCTCTGCTGACAGCTGTTATATACAGGTATACACACACATACGGGCCACTGTGTACTAAAGGGACACTGCCGCCCAAACAAGTTTTTTCCTACATTAGAGGGGCACCCCTTGCTTCTTGCTCTACAAAGATGTGGTGAATGTCAAAAATATTGTTTCGAGCCATACAACACAATTTCCACTTGAAATACTGAATACACAAAACACAACTCAAAATGTAACAATCTGACAAAATGCTTAATTAAGAAGACAGTAGTAATTAGGTGCATAAGCCCCGCCCAGTCACTGCGTGACTAGACTGATGAACTTATATCATTTCACATGGCAAAAGTGGGTGGGGGTTCCAAACTAGTCATTTTAAAAAGTGAGTGGGACACGTCCCCCCCTCGTACAATTGCTCAGACGCGAAGTAACAGTGTGCTGACTTAGCAGGATACAATGTTAACCAGGAATGATTTAAGGTCAAAATTATTGGCTGAAGAGAAGTCACCTGATGAACAGTAAGGATGGTTACACAGCTTTTCTGATACAAATATGAATTATGGGGACCATCCGACTGCCAGCCAATCAGAACCCTGAATTTTTACACAAAACCGAATATTCATGAGCGGATGCACTACCATAGAATGTCCTCCAGGGGCACTGTCTCGATACCCACGTTTTACACAAATTCGGGTATATATGAATTATGGAGACAATTTTTAGAATTTGGAGAAATTTGGGATTTTAGCTTTCTAAGCTTATACGAACACTTATATACTGTCTGAATTATGAGGACACTAACCCTGTCCTCATAATACAAAATGTCCTTATAGTGTGGCGTGTATTCAGACAAAATGTCTCGCACACACACACACATATACACATACTGCTGACAGCTGTTATATACAGGTATACACACAAATATACATACATATATACACATATATATGTGGGATGGGATCCCCTCCTTGTTATAGGCCCCCTGGATATTCCACCTTTATAAATGATGAAAGGGGGGACATCCTCACCAGCCATTTTTAAGACAGGCCAGGATAGTATTGTGGTCCCCGGTGCCCTGCTCCTGTTGATAGGCATGTTAGGCATTTAGGCATTTGCTGAACAAAACTCAAGAGACACAGTGAGAGAGTATTTCCATCTGTGCTGACTGAGAGTTTGTGTTAAAGGAATTAAACCCCTGTCCCCAACAAAGGCAAGGGGAGTTCAGTGATTTAAGCAAATAAACACCCGGGCTATTATTAGAAGTTTATATAAATTTTATACACATACTGCTGACAGCTGTTATATACAAGAATGTGTGTGTGTGTGTGTGTGTGTGTGTGTGTGTGTGTGTGTGTGTGTGTGTGTGTGTGTGTGTGTGTGTGCGTGCATGAGCGCAGGTGTCTACAGGAGCTTATAAGCGGCAAGTGTTTGAGGTTCCTTCAGGGAAGTTGGTGAGCGACCAGACCATCATCGACAGAATCACCTGGGCAACCTGGACCAGGTAACACAAACACACACACACACACACACACACACACACACACAGTATTCAAAAAACTTAAAAATAAGAACAGTTTGCACAACTTGCCCTTTTTCTGGGTCTTGATTTATTGATCCATCAGATCGTGCTATCTGTCAGTCTCTCAGTCCTGTAAAAGCAAAACACTGTGAAGTAACTGAACTGTGTTCTGTTAGTAAGATAGTAAACTTCTAATTGGACCCAGACCCAGTGACTTCACTTTGTGTCTCTTCTCTTCCTCAGCGTCCTTGGAGATGAAGTTTTGGGGATTTGGCCGCGAAACGCAGACAAAGCTGAAGTCAACTGTGCGTGTGTGTCTCACGCCGGCCTGAACATCGTCACCGGTGACGACTTTGGATTGGTCAAACTGTTCGACTTCCCCTGCACAGAGAAGTTTGTGAGTCACTGACATTTTTTATGCCTCTGCGCTGACAGCCATTACCAGAGTTGTAGGATTCAGGGTTGAAGATGTGTGTGAAGCTTCCACATTTTGGAATCTGTAGCTTCTTTCCAGCAACATCCATATAGGAAGCACTGTAGCATGTAACTACCACAAGCTCATTGGTTTAGCTGATATTGAGCTGACAAAGCTAACTATCAGTCCTCTGTAAGTGAGGACAGTGTGTTTCTCACTGGATATTAGTCACTGGAATTATAGTGATAACTTTCATTTTGCCAAAAAATACGCTCCATACCTTTTATTAAATATCCTTCAAAGTCTTCACTATATATACCACGAGTCTGGACAGACATGGATGTAAACTGCATCTGGGTAAAATGATCATATATTGATTGTTTATTGAAGAGAAACTGAAGTATTTTTTCTGTCCGCAGGCCAAACACAAGCGCTACCTCGGCCACTCGGCTCACGTGACCAACATCCGCTTCTCCCACGAAGACAAATACGTGATCAGCACAGGAGGAGACGACTGCAGGTGAACTGATCACCGATCAATGACAGACGATGACCTGAAACACAGCTACAGTGTTATTTAGAGAGAGATTGCTTTGCTGTGTTCAGAACTGATTCCTCTCTCAAAAATAAAACACGATGGGCAACTGTTCTTCTTATGAAGCTTCTACTGACAAAACATTTAATCAGGAACAAACTCATTGGTGTTTATAAAGTGTTATCGATGACTTTCAGGCAGAAACTCTCGACTATGATTTTTTAAATCACCTTTTAAAAGCTCTTTACTTCACATGCATGGTGTCCTCATGTCAGCTGTAAGTCAGTTTCATATTAAGTATAAAGCTGCCTCAAAGCCAAAATATCTGAAAGTGATAATCACTCAAATATCCTCAATATCACCCCATTAGAGAACAGTTCAAGGTTTAAAATAATATTGAATCAGTTTATTAAAAAATAGCAGAAAACGATAAGAAATTAAACTATGATACAGTCTATTTATATGTAAAACTAGTAATATTGTACCAACTTGTTTATGTGCTTTTTTCATTCAAAGTCTATGTTTGCCTGAAAACCACTTCAAGTATTAATTCAATATTTTTTATTAGGAAAATATATGTCTACAGACACAATAAATGTGAAAGCCCGTCATTCTTCTCATCTCTATATGATATATAAATAAAGTTTAGTTCCTATAAATAAGATTACGGGTGCTGTGATGGCGACAGAAGCTGCAGCAGATACACAGTTCGGTGTCTGATGTTAAACTCTGTTAACATCTGTTTGTTTGTTGCAGTGTGTTTGTGTGGAAATGCCTCTAAACGCAGAGATTTCTGCCGCCTGGTGACGCTTTTATCCAAAGCGCCTTAACAGCACCACAAGTGGATCCAGAGGGAATCCGACCCACAACCCGAACGTCTTTGTTAGACAGCGAGTCTCCTGAAGAGATCACAAGCTGAAGATGGAAGAAGACTCGCTGCTGCGATGCAAAGCCGACTTCAGTGACGAGACGTTTACATTTTATTCTGGCTTTTTTTTTATTAACACATGAGGCACTTGATGATGAACCACGTGACCGTGAACAGGAACAAACCATCAAGATAGCTAAAGAACCATAAGAAGCATCAGCTTTTTCAAGGAAACATCAGTTGGCTTTTCTTAGTGTTTCTTTTTGTTTTGGTCCATTTGGATTCACAACTGTCCAGTGAGAAGCCAACGAGCTCAGAAACAAAGGCCATGTGACTCACTGCGACAGTGAAGGAGAGGATTAATTCGCTGTCATGTTGTTCTGCTCAGCTCTCTGAGTAAATCACTATCCATCAGAAGGCCTTGCTGCAGTTGGTTTGCCTCAGATGACAAACTGCACCTCCAGGTCATTCAGTGATCATGTGATCACCTGGAGTCACATCAGAAGTGTCAGAAACAAACAGAAAGAAGGTTCAATGTAACGACTTTTAAATGTTCGTAAAGAAAAAGCAGGAACTGTCTGAAAGAGCTCAGTGGTTCCTCCCGTCCAGGGGTCAGACGTATAAAACGTCTGGTGTATGAAGCCGTGCATACACATTATGTTTTATGAATCTCAATCACTGTGGAACTGCTTGTTTCACTCCATACGTGTACCTTAAATACATTTATACTGTGGTCTGGATGAATACTCTATTCTGATTGGCTGTCCATTAATTCCTGATGTGTGGAGGGAACTAGAAACATTTCCTGTTGCATAGTCGTATATATGATTCATCCTATTTACTGGAGTAGTGAACAATGTTTCCATTGCATTAGAACCTAATGGGATGGTAATTGCATTTGTTATGATGACATTACTTACGCCATGTTGAACCGCCATGTTTGTACGGTAGCCTAAAATTTTACAAACCAAACACTGGCTTGTTTGCGATCTGCATGCAATCTAGATTCCACTAAATCCCACACAATGCGTTTATTTATTTATGCGTTATAAATAATTACTTTCTAAACTTTAAATTAACTTTGATTCTTGTTTCTGTAGTCATAAAGTTTGAAGGGTGTCAAGACAGTGAAATCAAGTTTTCAGGAGCTTTAAACTTCAGAAATGGAACAGTTTAGTTTATAGCTCTCATATCTAATCACACTTTAAATAAAAGATCGATTAATCAATAAATTATCCCTCCAATGTTAATATAACCAATAACTGATTGAGAATAATTGAGATTTATTAATAATTAAATGCAAAATAATGGTACACGGATAATGTTTTATTATTAAGATTCTTTTTGGTTGCGTTTGCTCTTACGCATCGTTCATACATCTGACTCCTGGATTCAGAAGCTTTCTGACACATCTCCTAAAGATACTGATGCTGCATTCAGGTTACCATGGGAAAAAACAACATCCAAATGAAAAGTTGACATTGAGAGAATGTTTCATAGCAAACAAAAGCGAGGAAACCACGTAAAGGATAAACTGTAACAGCGGTTTATAACTGACCTGGTTAAACTGTTGTTCATACAAATCCTTAAGGACGTTCTGTACTGGGATCACTGGGAGGAGACACTGGTCTGGGAGAAAAGTTGATTTATAAAAGATCTGATGCAGTTTCATTATAGAAACCTCCTGAAGTTTGTCTGAAAGAAACTTGACATTTGATTTAAAATCACTTTTCATTTCCAAGAGCCTTTACTGTGTCTGTCGTTGGATATCATCACACTTAAGTGCCTTTCTGGATCTTTCTACCTGTGTTTGTTTTCTTTTGGGGGGAAAGGGATATTTCATAAGCTGTTTTTTTTTTATTTAATCCATAATTAAGGTTATTTTGTACTCTGTCTGGTGCTACACTGAGAATGTTCAAACTTATTCATCCAAAAGGAACAGGAAAAAAAACATTTTCTTTGCTGCTGCTTTTTGTTTTAAAGACATGACACATCCAAAGCATCGTGATCGTAAAACAACATGGGACATCTGAGGATGTTAGGAGGAGTATTTATGGAAATATTTAAATGTTATTTATGCCTAATCTACAGTGTGGATGACTTTTCTGTGTCTGAACTGTTGAATATTAACTGTTGTGAAAAGTGTCAAAAGAGTCTGTTTATATGAAGTTAAATAGAAGAAAAAAGTTCCAGAGGTCACACACCTGATTTGTTGACTCCTTCACCGTGGACACACACTGAAGTATTCACTGTAATCATTGTTTATGTGTCTGAAAAGAAAAAATAGTTTAACTGACACAACAAAAAATGCACATCAAATTAGAGTTTTATACTCAAAGCAGTGAGCTAACGGAGTCTAAATGTATCACAAATTGTAACGGAAATGTGAAGTAATGCCTGTTTCCATCCACTACCGTTCAAGATGAGCAGTAGGAGGCGCCAATTCTACAGTCAGATAAAAGGGCGCAACAAGATGACACAATTAAAAGCGCCAGTCGAACCTTACAGTGCAAAACGATGCAGAAAACAGGATGGAAGTATGACAGTGTGTTAAACATCCGCGATAATTGATGGATAGAAGAGCTATGAGGAGACTGTTGGAGCGATACACAGCTGATCAGTCAGGGCTACTTCAGAACTTATTCCGAAAAAAAATGTCCCATCTCATTAAGCGCATTAAAGAGCAACTACACCCCCATGTTCTGCTAGCTCCTTCCCTCCCAACTAATTACAAATATGCAGCAGAGAGAATCATATAGGGGCATGGCCATGTGACTACACAGTGTGTGATGCAGGAGGTAACACCGGCCAGAGTGACAGCTAAGCTACGTTTAGTAAGCCAGAAGTGACCGTCACTGGAAGCACATTCACAGCCATTTGTAAAGGTTTCCGTGGGATACTGGTGTTGTAAAGAGGCTAACTCTCTGGTGTCTATGGCAGAGTTTCAGGCTACCGCTACGTAGCAGGCCACAGTCTGTAGAGTCGAGACGTTGGTCTTTCATAAGCAGGGTTGGTTGGTGATGAAAGCTGCCACCACATGCACACCTGCCTGCAGATCAGCCAATAGCAAAATTCAATTGTAATAGCCGTGTTTCCACCAGTAGAGGGCGGTCACTATGCAATCTTATAGCAAAATATGTAGAATTCAAATGCTTTGCCCTAAAATGTCCAGATTTGGACCTAAATCGATGAACACTAGTAAATACCCATATACAGAGGTTTTCAGCAGAATATAGTTCTACTGGGGTTTAGTTACTCTTTAAGTCTTTTTCAAAAAAGACAAAAACCACCTCAAGTAACAGAATTTTGCCATTTCCACCAACCTTTTCCAATGCAACACTTCAAAAGTAGCAGAACAATATGTTGATAGGAACACGACTACTAATAAGATATAAGGTCAGGTGTCAAAATCAGAGCAGCAGAGTAGGTGTGAGAATATTAAACTTTAAACAGTTAACTTCACAGCAAAACAGAAAGTCACACTTGTCCCCTCTGGCCTGCCGTAGTTTAAAAAAGGATGTCTAAAAATGTTGATCTTGACGTTATAATCAGCGTTCAACACTTCTGTAATCTAGAAAAGAAAAAAGGTTTGACTATATTTTAACTGTGCTGTTGATTCAAATCTGATGTACAGGGTGTTTGTGCGGAGTGCATGTGTGGTGGGTTTCTCCACGACATCTGCAGATACTCAAAGAAAAAAAAAGAAATATAAAACAGAAGAAGCCAAGGAACGTCCACAGAAAAAGAGAAAAACAGTGCAGTTGTTGAAGATGTAAAATAGTGCACTGAGATCAGTTTTAGTTTGTAAATGTTTTTCTGTGTACAGGTTGTCAGATTGTGTAGCTTTTGTTTTCACATCATTTGTATCATACTGTACATGGAAATATAAATGATGCTCAGATGCATGAATTTATTTTTAAACCAAAACATGTTTATTGATGATTGATGAGATTTTATGCTGTGAATTAGGTTCACCGGTTGATTTTTATACCGAGCTGATTGTGATCAAAGTGTGTGAGTGTGTGTGTGTGTTTAAATGTACAAACAGATTAAATGAGACTCGTGCAAGAAAACTGGCTGTTTCTTCTTCTGTTTTTTGTAGCAAAAAGTTCTCTTTTGACACATTTCTTTACTTAGTTAATTACTTGTTAGGTTTCTGAAGATCCGTTGGGAGGCTCAGAGCGTGTTCGAAAGCAAACGTCCTGCCTGCTACATACCCAATCAGTATCTGCCTACTAAATGTACAAGTATGCCATTACCAGCTGACAGTTCACACTTAAGTATACTCAAGCAATACTTCCTCTCTGCATCACGACTGTCAATCATGACATCAGTCAATTGACGTCAACATAACTTCTTCCACTCAATGTAATATTTTCCAGTATTATTTTATGATCAAAATGTCTTTATACAGTACATTATATATGTGAGGTTTTTTCTGTCTCTTTCTTAACTGTACCTCAGTTAAGAAAGTCCCGAGTATCTCCTGCTTTACCTCTCCTTTTTCGTATGTATTTTATCCATCCAACATACCTCTTACCAGCCGTGTATAAAGCACAGTTAGCTCAATGGCTCCCAGTATATTAATGTGATCTTAACAGTTGAGATGAGAAAGTGGTATTACACTCATAAGTTACACTCTCTTATAGCCAGGGACATTGTAGGGGGTAAAAGAAAAAGTTTATCCACCTCTTTGAAATGAGGCTGAGTTTGCTCATTTATTTTCAAATCAACTGAATCAATCAACCAATAAGGGGGAGCAAGGTGGGTAACGCTTTATCATTACCATTACATCCTTGCTTAGAGCAGCAAAACACTGCCACAAAATAAACTCTTTACACTCATTCATGAATAAATTCATCTCGAATTCAATCAAACACATTTTAAAAGGGAAAAAAACACCTCATTACATGATCATAGAAATTGATAATAAGAATTTGATCATCAATAGATATAAATATATTAAACATGGAATATATATATATGAACCAGAACATTTCTCAAGAAATGTTGAGTGTGCCTGAATGCTTGGTGTGCGAGAGAGAGAGAAGATACACATTAGAATAATGTGTTAATAAGCTCACCTCAATCAGCTGTGTGCTCCCAACTGTAATTAAGGGTTGCCATAGTGATGGGACCTGTTGTGCCTCTCCTGGGTCTGAGGCTTTATTTCATAGAGATATTAGCTGAGCCACACCTCTCATGGTTATGCTTCTTCAATATGTTTCTTCAAGTTAATGCTGCAGGTGGTCAGCACTCCCCTTGGAAGCTAAAAGTCCAAAGTGTAAGTCTCTTCTCTCCTCCACAGTTACATGTCTGCAACTGGTGCACATTTCCTTATGTTTTAAGGTACATTAATGTACAGTAGGGACACTGCCACCATTTGATCGCAATGTGCAAGCTTGGGAAGAATACTGTGAAATTTTGGAACACTTTTTTATAGCAAACAATTTTGATGATGAAGATAAAAAGAAATCCATATTGCTCAATGTGGTGGGTATTTACTGTTACTCATTATGTATGATTGTCTGATCTAGCCATAGATTATTTACTTAATTTTATTCTGTATTTTTGTATTTATCAAAATAATAGAAAGGATGTGTATAAATGTATTATTATTATATTAAATGGATCGTCGCCCAAGCGCAATCTAAGCGTTCTTGCAGCTTTCCCTCATTAAAATAACTTTCGGATAATAATTAGACATGTAAATGTTGATGTATATGTTTAAAAATCCACATGTAGACTCATTAAAATGTATAAATTACTTGGACTGACATTAAGTGGCGATCGTCTGCCGGAAAGACCTGCGAAAAGACCGGAAAGTGAGTCAAGCCGGAAGTGTCCGACTTAGGAAACAACTCCGATAGTTTCCGGTGGCTACATTTGAGAACAGTATTTGGTGTAAGTGGTAGAGTGGGAATGTGTAACAGGGCATGCAAGATGCAGATCTTTTCACTTATATTCAAGCAGAACTGGAAAAGTACTCAAAACAGCTTGTTCTAAGCTAAAGAGGAGAAAGATGGCTTTTTAATGATTAACATACATACATACACATTTTTCTGAGTGGATCACTAAAAAATAAAGGGATATGGCACGACTTGTGATACACGTTTTTACATATATGTAACATATGTTATTTTTATATATATAAATATACACTTTTTTTCGGGTCTTATTTAATATTCTAATTACATTTTCAACATACAATAATATATCTTTAATTATAACCATATAACACGAAACATGAGTCCAAACACAAAATGTATTGGGGACCCATTTAATATCTCCGCCTTTAATGCTGTCATTTAATCAATGTTATTTCTGTTGTCATTGATGCTTGCGCTTTTCTGTACCCAGGGGGTATTTGCTGCTGCTCTCCTCGTCTTAAGTTTTCCATGTATACACATGGAAAGGCAAGGAGGTCCCAGAACAGAGCCGTACCGCCAAATATAACATTATGCGTTTGGAAATAGTTTCTTTTGACAAAAGTGGTCCTGACTGAAATATGTTAGTCTCAGACAGGTAGCATTTAATGCAAAACTAATTCAAACTGTCTATTGTGCTTATAGACTGTAAAATGTTAATCTGAACAGATCACACTTTGACACTTTCAAAAATTTATCATATTCGATGCCCTCTTAGTTTATTCCGGGAGGCCCGTAACGGAGTACGGAACATTCTGTAATGTCCTGTCTGCTGTTAATAAAGAAGGAAAGTTCATCTACACTAACCAGGGAGTGTACTTAGAGAGTAAACTACTCTACGCCAAAATTCATATGGATGCATCCATTTCAGTATTTTTAACTGCGGTAACTGAACCATGATACTTTCTGCAACCCTCCAGTAGTAACTTCTGTAGGATGGGAAGACTCCGACCACAGCTTTACATTGTAGTTCTGCAACCAGTGTCAAATAATTTTGAATCACTCTTTTCCTTGTACTTAGTACTGATATCTATATCTATAGCTTTTTTCTATCCAGTCCACCCCTTTTTTTTTTTTTACACAACATATTTATTGATTTTGACTTAAAGATATCAATAACGGTAGTGTAATAACATAATACGTACAAATCCCTTTTGTGAAAATCTACCATCAGCATGCAAAATCCTATTATTAAAATAATGTGACAATGTCAACCGATGCGCTCTACTATCACGATATGTTCTACCAAATTCAATATATGATTACAAAACTGATCCAGGGCTTTCTGGACAATATTCACAGGCAGAAGACATGTATCCTGAAACACACAATGCTGCTGTCGGTCATGTAGAAGTTCATCTTCACCATCAGCAGATTTTTCAATGCTTTCCTAATTACATTCCCTTTCTAAGACATTGCTATCTGGTTCCTTACAAAACTCATTAATCCATGCCTCTTTAAACACAACATCTTTACACATTTATGTTATAAATACTGCAACGCCTGCCTTATGTGTATACTGTTAACAAACTGATACTCATAATGGTCTTTATAGGTTAACTTAGAAACAAAGATCGCTCCATATTAAACTATTTAAAAATGAGAAAATCTTTCATTATTAGATTTTTAATTATTTGTCTCTCTACTTCCTCCTGTTTCTCCTCCTGGAACACCTCGGCACACATGGACACAAAAATACAAACAAATTGTCATGGTTTTCTTACACTTATTCTTTGATCCAATCAATCAATACAGAATGAAAACATATCGACACCCTCCACATTCACCACCTCAACAAGCTGAATCGTGATTAAGTTGTTAGTCAGTTGGATGTTAATTTCTTCATCTGCAGTTTTCTGAACTGGTTCCAGTTCCAGTTCTGCATCCGTCCTGAACATTTTACTTCATGGCAGCCAGTGAGTTTTTTCCTTTATTAACACCACAATATAAAAATAAACTATGATAGAATACACATAACAATGCAGGTAGTATTTGAGATAATATAATGTGTTTTTAGGATTGTAGTTGTTCAAAATGGCCACTTATTTCCTCTGAAGATTTGTGCCCTCAGTACATAAAATCCTGTATTAATCTTAAAAAGGGTGTCTTTAAACATGCAAGTTGTTGTAAGGTATGCAAAATGGATATAATGAATGGAAGTTATAACTATAAATTAAGCATATGTGACCCCACCCAGGTTACAACGGGGACCGATACACAGAATAGAACTGTACCAGCCCTAGACACTAACCATCTGAGCGTTGACACAATTTTTAAAAGGTTCAAGAAAAGCGGGAGACGTGCATTCAGCTCTCCAATAATATTTAAAAATAAATTATACTGGCAAAAGACCTGAAAAAGAAAGGAGAAACCATAACACTAGTCCAAATTATTTTATTCCACAATACTAAAATAGTTGAAACAACTAGTGTATAAATAGCAAATGGCTTCACCATAACATAAAATACAATAAGAGATTAAATGGTTGCGAGAAATAGGCAGGACAGGGTACTCACCGCGGGGAGACTATCGCAGACCCCAATAGAAATCACCTCGTGTGCACACTGATCACTGCAAACACTACAACTTACACTGCAAGGAAAGTCAAACCTACAAACCAGTGAAGTGACCACTACACTTCAATCATACCACACTGCATGCAAGGAGGGGTGCATATCCCACGACTACATCCCACTGCCTAATCAAAACAAAAGACAGAAAATACAGTGAGATTCAGTTGGTTCAGATTCAGACATTCAGTGTCACTACACCCAATATAAAAAGACAATATTCAACCATCTACAGATTATGTAAGTTGTACAGTCTGTAAACACATTCGCCAACCGCCTTGGCGAACTGGCTCAGGCAAAGCAGCAGTCTGGCCTTAAATCTGCAATAAGGGGAAAGGAAAACATAACAAAAGTCAGTCTCATCAGCTGACAACAACATACCTCAGAGAGCATGACCCTCCTACATTACCATACTGGTTTCAGTTACCTTGTACATGTGGGGCTCTGCTAAGAAGCAATGCAACAGTTGAAAAGCTCTACTCTGGCTTAAAAGGGGAGAAGGAAGAGCTGAGTCTTTGCCTGAAGAGAAGTTATCATGTTAGTGATATATCTACAGTTTAATGAAACCCCAAAGTT